GAAAAAAGGAAGACGGTGCTAGAGCATTCAACCTCACGTGATAAATAACTCTACTCAGTGCTGTTTACGGCTTGCATTCGACTCATTTTACCTGCTTCCCCCTTCTCTTGCCCTCCCCGTCCTTGCCACTTTTCCCCGAGAAGGTGAATTTTCAAATTCCGCGCCGGAACCAGCGAGGACCGGGTTCTTGGTTGGTTTGCGATAACCCGGATGAGTACAGCTTCGGCATAGCCCAGCGGGCACAATTAGACAGATGTTGTAGCTCGATCCGGTTGGGCGTGTGACGGCTGGGGTGTCAGGGTCGAAGTGGCTTGTATCAGTACATTTCCGCGTGGGATTTGGCCTCTTCTGCAAAGTGTTGTCCTGGGAGAGCAGTGGCCCTTCGTTAGGGAGGTGAAGGCAGTGCTGGCCTGGACCGAATATGGCCTCTGGGGTTCAGGTTTTGTCACCGGTTCATGCTGGCATGAACTTTGACCCAGGCGTACATAGTCGCCCCAGTTTGCATTTGCCGAAGAAGTTTTGCGCAATATTTAAAGCCCGGCCGAAGTGTTCTTTCCCTGTGCTGACCGTTGGTCAGTGATGCGAATGCCCAGCGAGAAATACGAGATTCGCTAGGTTTGTTCCCATCTTTTAGCGCCATCACTTATTTCTTGCATTTTTCTGAGCTTACTTGTATGTTTAAGCAAATGTGAGGATGCGTCTTAACAAGACCTCGCCCTCGGCGTCTGTGCTGGTGTGCCACAGCTAACCATCTATCACCGGACAAGCTAGGAAGCTGAAATTTCCCAAACTGAGCCCTTGATATTTGTAACGGCTCAGTGGAGAATTGTTTTCTGACATTGGCTGCATCTCGAACTACGGCGCACCTGGGGCACTCGCTAATTCAGAATCAGGTTCTCTGCCTGTAGAACTACTGTTTTTTTGCGCTTCTGCATATTTATGCAAATGCAAAACGTATATTGCCGAGAAGTTGTCGATGTGTATGTATGTATGTGTGTGTATGTGTGTGTACGCATGTATGTGTGTATGTGTGTGTACGCATGTATGTATGTATGTGTGTGTGCGTGAGTGTGTACGTTTTCGGATTTTTGTCACCCACATCTAACTCAGCAACCTCATAAGCTAGAAGGCTGGAATTTCACAGTGATTTTCCTAGCGCCATTCAATTAACTCAAAAACAACGTCCACGCATACCTGGGTAGCAGCTACTTTGAATATTTCTGCATTGTTTTACATCCTCCTTGTTGATGATCCTGGTGTTCGTTCCTTTTCCTAAGAAGTTTATCAGCTCAGGGACCTTATTTCTGTTAAGTACCACTATCAGCTCAGGGACAACCTTATTTCTGGGTGGATTAACTGCGTGTGTGTGTGTGTGTCTGTGTCTGTTAAGTACCCCTATTTTCTACCGGATTTTGCCGCTCCTAGAGCACAGTGATCATTTTCCTTAGCGGCTGGTAACTGGAGCTGTTTTCCCAAGTACCAAGAGGCCAAAATTGCTTGCATGCATTACAGTCAGACGGAGAATATATGCAGGTTTTGTTTCCACAGGCAGAATCACGTAAAAAACGCATAAGAGCATGGCCCCCCCGGATTGTTCATTCCTTCTTCTCACGCGGTCGCTCTCGCGTCTTCGTTTCATTGCGCCACTAATCCGTCGTACCCTGGCTGCAGTGCATGTTGATGCTGGATGGAGACGGTGCCGATTTCGTCGGATGCATTTCTCCGAATATACGAATGTATTCTGGAATGTGTGGAGGATGAGTTCGGCAAGCTAAGAAAGAAATTGACGGCGGCCGACTTGAAACGAATCAACGTCATCCACGCAATACTGAACAATCGCGGTTTACGCCTCTCGAGAATTGGGTAAGTTCCATGTGAGGCTTCCAGTTACTTCAATAACTTCTCAATGAACGAACAGAAAATTAGCCTCGCAGGGCAAAAAAATTATCTTTGAAAATTTAATTTTTCTGTCTTTTTAATCGTAGTTATTGCAATTCTCTTCCCTTATGCTGTGCGCCACTTGGTCACCTTAAACTCGCATGATTTTGGACTTCCCCTCTGAGTATGCTGTGCACTTCTAAACTCCTTTACAATTAACTCCATGGATACCGCATTCTCTGGGTAAAAGACATTATGAGGGACATGGGCGGTTGTCCCGCGATTGGACTAAATGGGAATCGAAAGAACACGATGTATCTAAAATGCAGTCTCAAGGTAGCGATATTACGATATGTATATATATATATACATATATATATATGAAATCATATGAAATTGTGTTAAATTGCATCAGAAAATATATGAAGAGATTATATTAAAAGAAAAGTCGTTAATTTTTTCTCCGTTCAGTTAGATTGAGTGAAATTCTGATGGATAAGTTTAGAGAGGTAGCACTGTCGGAAGTGGTCGACACATTGCTTTATGAATGGGAAGAATCTGCGCCACCGTCCGAAGCCGTGCAGCAGCTTGTTTCACTTCTCTCCAAGCCCGCAATCCGGGTAAAATTTTATTTTTGTACAGGCACATTTGCATTATCTTTATGGTTTGTTTTAAAAATGCATTACTTTCATTTTGTTCTACTTTTTTCTTTCCTAGCTCCCCAGTTTTCGTGTGTCACACTGTATTCTTTTTCGTATGACTTGCCCCTTTCTATGCATTTTTGTCGTGTAGCGCTGAAGCGCTGCAACAGGCAGCAAAAACGCGTATTACGATGATCCAGTCTGTGCGTATGTGTTTGTGTGTATGCATTCGTCTGTGCGAGTGTTTTTACTCGCCAACTACTTTAGCTTTGATGCTGAAATTTTGCCAGTATTTACCCTGGCCAAGTGCGGCCCTAGAGACATAATATCGACTGTTAGGCATGTCTACGTCTCACGTACAAGTGCGTGGATGTTTAGGCGGGAAAATTAGTAACGCAAGAATGAGAAAAGCTAAAAAGCTGAAACTTTAGGGGATGTTCCTTACCAACGCACGACCAAAAGCTTTTAAATTCAGCTCCTTAAAACGGCCTAGGACTCAT